GTGTGCAGATTCAGGACCTGCTATGTGTTCTATGTGGCCAAGTGGCTGAAGATGGCAAGCATTTGTTCATTCACTGTTCTGTTACAGCTGCAATCTGGAATCACTTTCTGTCGGGCCTGGGGCTTCAATGGTGTATGCCATGTTCTGTTTTGGATATGCTATGGAGTTGGGAGCTTCAGGGTGGTTCCAAGTTGGCAAGGTGCATTTGGAGTGTCCTGCCTGCAGCCATTTTATGCACAGTCTGGACTGAAAGAAATAGAAGAATCTTTCAAAATAAAGCTTCTGATGTAGATTCCTTGATTGCCTTTGCTTTCGGCAAGCTCATTTCATGGGTGGCTGTGGCCGAGGGTCTTCAAAACTCAGTCCTCTGTTCTCAATTGAGATCCAGGGACGTCCTTGAGTTATGATGTATTCCAGGTGGTTTAGTGTGTTTGGCTCCTTGTCTTGGGGGCTTTGGTTGTAATCTGCTTTAATCTGGTGCTCAATGAATAAAATTTTACCTTACTTTTCTCCAAAAAAAAGTACACAAATGGTAGGAGTAGATGATAAATTGGTAGACTCTTTTTGGATTGGATTCTATGGAGAAGAGACATTATAGTTGAATATAGATTTTATTAATAGGGCTTGGATTTTGAGGGAGCAAATGTACCAAGGGGAACTCAGGAAATGTTGGTTGCTTTCAAAATTCAAGGTTGGAAAGGAAATTCCTTAAAGTTTTGGTACGGTTTAGCATGGTAAAAGACCCCTTACAATTTCCCATCCTAAGCTCTTGTAGACTGTGTACAAGGAATAAATAATAAGAAATTGTTTTGAATGGGTAACTGAAAACATGGTTTGTGTCATTGATCAAAAAAAAGAAAACATGGTTTGTGTCCCAAAAATCTTAATGCTTGGGAAGGCAGTTGTCCAGTGATCTTGCTCTTCATTAGTTCACCTCAATTTGCAGGACAAATTGGATCTGGATGTCTGAGCCACGGGGCATCTTTCCCAGTGGTAATATTTTGTTCAAGGCTATAGAGACAAGGGCTCATCTCAGCCCAGATTTATTTGGAGCCCTCCTGTTGAAGTGAAGTAGATTTGTTTGACCTCAAAGTCAGGATTCCTGGTTTGAATGTTCCCTGTGAGCTGGGTGATTTCAGGTACTCTTGTTGTCTTGAATCTTGATCCTTGGATGGCATATAAGGGTCTCTGTAGAAGGCTCCAGATACTTCAACTGTTCAACACCTTTTTATATTTGTTGGAAGATCTCGATGATGCACAATTGACATATCTTTGATGACAAAAGATGAATGGAGGATTTCATTATGAAGAAAATCATTGGCTTGCTCTGGTCATCCATTGCGAATGAATTAGGATGCTTTCATTCTCAAATATAAATGAATCTGAATCATGTCAGATCCCCCTTCTGATGTACAAAAACCTTTTTGTATGGCTTATAATACTAACAAGCTCTATTTCTAAACATTATTTGAGGCTTGTTTCCATTTTTGTTATATCTTGGAATTACTTGTTACTGAACCAGAATAATCAGTTCCAAAGGAAATATACCATCCATTAATTTCATGCCTTGTGCTTTGGAGATACAGAGTCATTTCATATCTCTCTTTTTTTTTTTTTGAAAAAGGTTGGAGCCCAGTAGAGGTACTAGTTGATATTCAATCAATATTTGTCTGTAGATCCACCCAGAAACAACACCCACACACAAGGGGTCAGATTATGTAGAGGTGTTAGAGAACAACTATCCTTTGGTGTTTTTGGGAGGAGGGTAATGCCAGGATTTTCTTCAATTAGGACAAGACAAGTTGATATATCAATTGATTTCATTACCATCAAAGTTGGAGTATGGATTCTTTGTGGAGAGCAGTAGTTCAGAGAGTTCCCTACTAATCATTTTCATTTTAAAATGGCCTTATTTGGCTATTTATCAGTGTAGAGACATTGCATAAATCATAGTTATGTTATTCAAGCTGAACTTTGATGGTTGTGCCATAAGAAATGCAGAGTCATCTGGGTTGAAAAGCTTTATGGATTAAGATGGATTATCAGCTGATTATTTTGGTTTCTTTTTGGTCCATCAATGAGGGAAACTCAATCTGGGTAGACACTTGTATCACTGAGGGGATTACATTGATCTTCCCTTTGGGCTCTGTTGTGTATTGTCTTCTTAGCTTGGCATTTCTTCAAGGGCTTGATCATTGTTGTTGATAAAAAAGAGGATCCTCAGATTGTTATTGGATGAGTAAGAGATGATGAAACAGCCCAAAGGGCCCCGGCTGTTTTGCCATTAAATCAGAGGCTAGCTCTTTAGTATCTAGAGTGAACATAACGTTCAGCAGGGTGCTTTAACTAGATCATTGGTGTACTCATTAATGAAAGGAAGAATTAGGAGCTGGGGGTTGTCCAGGAGCAGCCTTTATTACTTGTCTTGACTGTTATGACCCACTTAAATCTGCTATTTTCTTTTGTGATTTCGATGGTATCACTTGTCTTTTTTTTCTCTCTTTTCCATATTTCTCATCAGTTCCAACTTCCAACCAGTAATTTGGGTCTCCATGTCTAATCCCTCTCCACCACTACTTCATAATCACTATACAACTTTTTGAGCTAATGTCAAACCTTAGAGTGAACTTTGAGAAAAGTTGTATAGTTGGAGTCAATATGGGGGAAGGGGAGGTTTGCGAGTATGCAAACATTTTGGGGTGTGTAGTATCTAATTGGCCCTTGAACTACCTTGGTTTACCATTGGGAGATAATCCTCAGAAAGGTGATTCTTGGGCCCCTGTTGTGGAGAAGTTTGAAAAGAGACTTGCCAATTGGAAGAAAAACTATTTCTCTTGGAGAGAGAATTACCCTAATTAGGTCTACTCTTGCTAACCTTCCTGTCTATTTTTTGTTAGTCTCTAAGATTCCGACTAAGGTGGCTAGCAGGCTGGAAAAACTAATGAGAGATTTTCTTTGGGAGCCGGGGGAGAAGGATCATAGGGTTAGGTGGGAGGTGGTATGTAGGAGTAAGAAGGAGGGAGGTCTGGAAATTGGGAACATAAGGATATTAGGAGGGAAATGGCTGTGGAGATTTACATTGGAGAAAGAAAGACTGTGGGTTAAGATAGTGGGAAGTATACATGGGCTGGCAGGCAATGGATGGGACTCTGGGATCCTAGCAAGGACTACAAGAGCATCTCCCTGGAAAGCTATTCAAGCCATATTGCCCTTGTTCTCTCCATGGATCAGGTATGATTTGCACTCAAGTAACCTCATTAAATTTTGGGAGCATGTTTGAGTTGGGGATTCCTCTTTGAAAGAACAATTTCCAAGCCTCTTTGCTATCTCTACCCTTAAAAATGAACCAGTTTCCCCTTTCCTTGTACCTTCTAATTCACCTTCTGGTTTCGGATGGAGCCTGCATTTGAGAAGAGATGTCAAGGACATCGAGTTAGCTTGTATTTTAGATTGATCCATCAAAGACAGATAATAGAATATGGACACTCACTCCCTCGGGTTCCTACACTTGTGCCTCTTTCTTTAAGGCCCTTTTACCCCCTTCTCATGTTGGATTGTCATTCCCTGTTAAAGAAGTGTGGTGTCGACCTATACCTCCAAAGGTTGGGAGTTTTTGTTGGGAAGCCTTTTTGGAAAGAGTTAATACAGGGGATCTACTTCAAAGAAAAAGACCCAATAGTTGTTTGTCTCCTCATTGGTGTATCCTCTGTAAATCCGATGGTGAGTCTGGATACCATTTACTAATTTCTTGTCAGTTTGTTAAAGTTATTTGGGAATGGTTTATTACTTCTTTGTTTGGGTGCAGGTGGGCTCCCCCTTCGAATGTGCAAAGCTTATTTACTTCCATGCCTAACTGGCCAACCAAAAGGACCAAGATCATGTGGAGATGTGTTAGGGTTGCAGTGTGTTGGACTGTTTGGGAGGAGAGAAACTCAAGGATATTCTCAAATAAGGAGAGGAGCCTGGAAGTAATCTTGGAGACTATCCACATTAAGGTGATACATTGGAAACTTTGGAATTGTTTACAGTGTTCTCAGTTGATGAGATGATAAGAAATTGGAAGGAAATTGCAGATTCAATCTCAATTAAGAAGACTTCATGTTCTTGCTGGACACTTCCAGGACCCCTTCGATACGCCCCTACAGTGGGTGTATTGGAGGTCTGACTGGTTCAGGGGGTAGAGGAGACCTAAACCAGCCCCCCTGAACCGGTTGCAAAAAAAAAGGCCTGAAACACTGTATCGATTCGCCTGATACGCCCATACCGGCGTATCGGGCGTATCGATATTTTGAACCTTGCTTCCAATATTTCAAAGTGGAGACTACTCTCTTCTCATGTTCTCGCGTATCGATATTTTGAACCTTGCTTCCAATATTTCAAAGTGGAGACTACTCTCTTCTCATGTTCTCAGCTTAATAATTTATTTGAATTGGCTATTGTTTATTAGGGACTCAAAGTCGTGTAGGAGTATCTACTAGGCTAGTGGGGTGTTTTTTCTTTTTCCTGCACTGTGTAAACACTCCTTGGGTAAAAATCTACCTTTACCATTTCCGGTTGAAAAAGCTAACCAGTTTTTCCGCTTGTTTTGGCTTCTTGCCCAGCTTGACTCTATTTTAGACTAAGTCAACTAAATGATGTTTGATTTGGTAGTCACCATATAACATCCTAATTGGTTCATTTGAAGATTGGGCATGCAACTTGGGATTTAGTTTCCGCAATATGCTTCTGCAGTTGGTGCTGAATGTTTTGACTATTTGAGGCCTTTATCTGCATGAATGAATTGTGGTGTTTTCCATTTTTTTTCTCATGCAAATACACACATCATCTTATCAAAGATGTTGATAGGTTGGAAGTCAGACTCCTCAAAAATCGATAGGGGCAATAATCCCTGCATTGTGTGCAATTTATTTGGTAGAGTCCATAATTTGTCAAGTAGTCACTGCAATTTTTCTTACATGTTGTAGCCACAAATAATCTTTTAAACTATGATCTTTGTGCAGATAAAGAAGGAAAGGGCGGAACGGGAAGCATTGGGGGCATTGCCTCTCTATCAGCGCACCATCCCTTGATTATACTGTTATTTGTCTCGGTTGTTACTTGCTGAGTACGTCTTTCAAAGAAATAAGGACACTATTATTCTATTGGGAAGTTTTAAAGAGGACCATGAAAGCTGAGAAATTTGGTTTATTTTATCTACGTTCAGAGAAGGATCTTTTGCTTTTGTGGATTAAATGGTCTGATAGTCATTGTTACCATATATGGGCCTCTTTAAATGTTAATAATATATGCCTAACACTGTTTTGAAGTTCTACTCTGAAATCAACTTGATCATCTATATTCCAAGACATGACCAAATGGAAAGGGAGAAAAATAGCTTTATATGATTTTTTATTATATGGCCCAGGGACTAGTACTGTCGCCTTGTTATCAAATTTCAGCAAACACCAGCACTCAGCAAATAGACAACTTCATCTCGTAAGTACAACGAAATTTAAGACATTTGACCAATGGGGTGTGTTGGATGTAATTCTTCAGGCACTGTAGATACCAACCATAACCAGGTTACAGTGAAATACTATCGCTTGAATGGGGTAATAATTGGATACCAATTAGCAATTGGACCTTATTGTGACACCGTCCGATCTTCCAACATTTTCATCACGACTGAGACAAGAAAACCAAGAATGGATGAGTTATAACATCGTAGAGCCAGGGTGCCATAAATAAAAGAGTTATTGATGACTGATGACCGATACCAACCAGTTCAGTGACAAGTTACAAGGGACGACTTACCAAACAATTAAAGATGGAGCTTGGACTTGCATTGTTCAGTTCTTCAGAGTTGAGACAGCCTTGGGAGTTGGGGCATCAGTTTTGGGGCCTGGAGTGTGAATGTTCTGGACTAGGACATCGTTTTGGCCTGTATTAGGCTGCTTTGTGTTTTTTTTAACTCGTGTTCTTGGGGTTACACAATGCGCACGGGCTGGTGGCTGTGGGATTTGATCTCGAATCTCTGCTACAAACATCAGGAGATCCCACAAACTGAACCACAATCAACTGGTGTGGTGTGGTTGGGTTTAGGCTTTCGGATTAGGTTCTAGGTTTCTAGTCTGTACCACATTCTATAATGTAGTTGCTCACATCAATTTACTCTCTTTCACTTTCCATCCCTTGTAGAATTTTATAATTTTTTAATTAGTTGCACTATGATACTGAAAAGACATCATATCTGAAAAACTTGTGGCCAATCAACGGGTATCATAAACTTAAATCAGATGCTATTTATAAAAATTCACGAATAGGATTTGATTGATCAAAGCTCTTCCCGTGCCATATCTTTCTGGTATCATAGATTTTTCCATTTTTAATTTTAAAAATAAAAACATCAAACAGGGCTACTTGCAATTAGACCTGTTCATGGGCCGGGTGGCCCGATGGGCCGGCCCGACTCCCGGACAGGCTTGAACAGGCTTTTTGGCCCATAGGCTTAACCTTGGGCCAAAAAGCCCAGCCCGCATAAAATTCGAGCCGGGCTCGGGCTTTTCCAAAATAGCCCGGCCCGAGCCCGACCCGACCGACCTATAGTTAAACCTAAGTAAAAACCCTATGTGATGTCCATTTGAATAAATTTTTTTATTTGAAAAGGTTGTTGATTCACTTGTAGGCCCATTGTTCATTTAAATAGGGGAAAAAACATATGAATTAAAATAGATAATGTCTATTTGAATAGGGAAATTTTGATTTTCTTTTATTAGGTCAGGCTTCGGGCTCGGGCTCGGGCTTCAGGCTTTTTATCAGGACCGGGCTCGGGCCCAAGTTCTAGGCCCATTGGTCGGGCCGGGCTTGGGCTCGGGCCTATTATTTTTCTGTTAATGAACACTAAAAGCCCGGCCCAAGCCCGACCCGACCCATGAACAGGTCTACTTGCAACCAATTTTGTTTCATTTTTAACATGGGCACCTTTAAAGAGCAAGACATAAAGAGGATTTTTCCACCATCTGGGAATTTCCTGCTAAGTGCTAACCTAATGGGCCCACCGATGGCCACCACCAGTCAATGGGTGACCCCATCCATGAGGACCACCGTTTAAAATAGAACTAATCTTTGTTAAACTTGAACAATACCAATTCGGATTAATTTATACTCTGAATGCATGCTTGTGAAAATCACCGACTTTCCCACTTTCTCCCCTTGACGTTCATGCCTTTACCTTATTGTACTTGTTTTTTTAACAGATAAAAACAATAAAGCTTCTTAATTTAAGATTTCTATATTCTTTTAACCTGTCAAAATAACTCGTTTCCCTCAGTATGACGAGGATTACAGTGACAGGCGTTTTGATTCACGGGATGTGTCTCTTTCTTGCTTCACAATAATACAAATTGAGTAATGGTTCATTTTCTCATTGTTTGGCATATTCCCTTCTGATTCTCTCCATTCCCCACTGCACCAAATTGAATTGTATCTCTCTACTCCATGTCTCCATCCAGGCTTCGTTTTAATCCACTGTTTTGTTCTCCGGTTTGGTTGGTGCATCGATTAATCAACCTGTACCCTCCATTATTTTATGCCCTTTGATTTAGATTGATGTGGGGATCCATCACTTTTGAGTTATATGATAGAGATGGGCCCTCCTCTCATTAGTCTTTAACATTGCACCTCTCTGAAGAAACCAGCTGTGGGTTGTGTTTTTTTTTTTCCTTAAGATTAGAATCTGTGGGTGGTGCTACTTGATCTGTCTGCTGATTCCGGTTCAAACCAGAGATTGAACAAAGCAATTTATGATTTGATATTGCCAACTGAAAATAAGAAAATAGTTTGTAAATGGTTGCTTCAAGAAGGAAATAAAAGGGTCATTTTACTAGAACACCCTTATATTTATTAAATCAATCATATACTTTTTGTTTTAATAAAACACCCCTTATAATTTACATTCCATTTACTTAATTGGCTTTTTACTAATAATGTTTCTTTGGCCATATGAAAATAGTAATACAATCATCTAAATGAGCTCATGATTATTTATTCTAAAAATATCCTTTCCGTTTTTAGCAAAAAAACAAAATTAATCAAATAGAGCCAAATAAAATGGTTGCCTATTTCTTATTAGGACAAAAATAGCATTTTTACTTTTGTTATCTTTTGATTAAATTTGTTTAAATAGACATTATGGTTAAAACTGTCATTTTTCACTGTCAATAGAAAGTAGATTAAAGGAGTGCTTTAGTAAATCCAAGAAATTAAAGGAGCGTTTTAATAAATTACCCAATAGGGCTGTTCACGGGTCGAGTTGGGTCGGTTTACTGTGGTTTTTCCAACCGACCTGAGCTGGTCGGGTTACCTGACATAGAAACCGAAACCGACCCAGTGTTAAGCAAAACCAACCTGGTCGGTTTGAATCGGGTTGGGTCAGTTTCGGTTCTAAGTTCATCCCTGTGATAAAATCTTGCTAATTTTAAAAATAGTCATAAATTGAACATCATTTCAGCCATCTCCTATGATAAAATTTAAATGAAAAGTTAATTACAAAAGTTGTTCATTAATCACTATTCACTAATCCAAAGTTTATTGCAACCATTCAAAAACTAAGTGGCCTAATGGGCTTTGGAACTTCATGTTTGAACTAGGAACTAAGTCGGTTCAGTTCGGGTCGATTTCGGTTTTCTTGTATGAAAACCGAAACCAACCCAAATAATCGATTTAAGAATTTGTACAACTCGAAACCGACCCGTACTAATGAAAACCCGGCCGACTCAGGTTGGATCGATCTGGGTTGGTCGGTTTAATCGGGTTGGGCCTTGTTATGAACAGCCCTATTACCCAAAACAAAATCATTAGCTTTCATATTGGGGATGGTGATGGGCTCACGGGTTTGGACGGTCGTATTCATCGTGGACTCTAGTCTGTAGAAAAGATCAGAAAATTAACTTCCAACACGTCTTCCGCATGAGAACAGAGAATGGAATTAAGGGTGATAAAGACACGCGTAGGAAGACAAAGATCTTCGTAGCCTCCACGCGAAGAATCCAAATTTCGTCTTCTTGGCAAAGAAAACGTGGGCTTTGGACTATTGGACCTGGACCCACCTAAAGTATCCCCCATCTTAGGCCTTTTTTTTTTTTCTTTTCGGCTAAAAGGACCAATCATCGGCGATACACACATCTAGGAGATTTTGTCAATTACCAAAGTAGCCTTAACTATAGGGTAATGACAAGAACATCCTCTCTGATTGTTCTGTTCTTAATGGAAGTATTTTTCTTGTTTTTCTTTTTGATGATGAAACAAAGCTGATGAAAGTTGCTTTCTAAATACCTGCTAGGACTGTCAATTGGACTGGATTTGGTTCAATCTGATCCAGTCCAATGTGAGTCCATCATAAATGGATTAGGTCCAATCCAATCCAATGAATGTTTTGGATCAATTTGGACCGGTCCAATTCAATGTCTGGACTGTCCAATTTGTTCAAATTCATTTTGATTTATATTGATTTTAATTCAAATCTGGTCCATTGACACATATTTTTATCTTATATCAATGGACCAGATATTGGCTTAATCCAACACAATTCAATATAAATTTGTTACAGACGGACCAGGTTCAATTCAATCTAATAAATATTTTGGACTGGATTGGTCCAAACCAATATGTCTTGTTGGTCCATCCAATTCCTCCAAATTGATTTTAGACTGGACGAGGTCCAATCCAAAACCGGTCCATTGACACCCTTACTGCTAACCTACCCATTAATTCACAAGATATTATTATTAATAGTTTCCTTTTTAAGCAAACCCCCCCCCCCCCCCCCTTTTTAAATCATGAACTTTGGCTCATATGATGAAACCAACCATGTTGTCATACACCCCCCTAAAACAATTAAGCTTGTATTATGATTTTGTTTTCTTATCTTTTTCCTGGGGTGTTCATTCGGTCAGAAAATGGAACATAATCAATATTTTGATTGGATCATTTTCATGAATTGAACCAAACTGAATTAGGCATCAAAACTATGCCAAATCAAATCAAATTCAAATCGGTTTGGACCCTACTTATAATTTGGTTGGGTAACTAGGGGTTATACATTTATACTTCAAGATATAAAGGGGTATAGTAACCATAGAATAATCCTATCTATTTTTTAAGGTTCTGTTTGTTTACAGTACAAATTTCATTTGCATTGATGCAAATGCATGGGAGTGTAACTTTCGATTTATTTTTCTCCCGGTTTGATTTTGTTTTGCTTCTTGTATGAAGCAAAATAGGAAGTAAAATAATGCGGTCAGTTTTATATTGAAATGAGGAAGGCCTTTTTTTTTAGAGAGAGAGAGAGAGAGGAAGAAAGTAGAAAAGTAAAAGGCCATATGGTCCCACTTCAAATAAATGTACAAAGAAGATGATTCAAACTTGCATCAGTTTTTGGTATGTAAAACTTGTAGTGCCAATGAAAGGAATTGAGGGAAAAAAAAAAGAGCAAATTACAATTACAAATAAACAGGTGGAAATCTGACTATGGTGTAAAATTTATATCTAGTTCAGATTTTCAATGTAAACAAACAAACAAACAGAGCATTAAAAAAAAAAAAAACAATGTGAGCATTTACAGAATGCTTGTTCAGCCAAACTCTTCCGTTACAATAACAATTTTGTCCAACAATAATGGCCTCTTTTCATTCAATTAAGTTGTGTTTGTTTTCTTGAAAATCAGGTGAAAAAGAAAAAAAAAAGTTGTGAGAATATTCTCAAGGAAACTTATAAAAATAAAAAATGTCCTGAGAACATTTCTACAACTTCCCCCTTTCACATTCTAAGAAACCAAACACAGCACTATGTAATCCAAGTCAGCAAACAGAAAAGGCTTTAGTAGTTTCTTAAGACTAAGTTTGGAAAGAGTACAAATGCAAATATGTACAGTGTAAATACATATAAAATAATATAAAATATAAGGTTCTGTATTCTACATATTTGCATTTGTACTTCTTCCAAACTCAGCCTAAAGGGTAAATTGCTGAAACTTCCCTGAAATTTAGTAATTACAATTATCTCTCGTAAATTTTCTGATACAGTTGCAAATAAACCCACTCTCGTAAAATCTTTTAAAAAAATGTATGAAAATATCCACAATACCCATGATGTATCTATTGAGGCTAGTTTATACAGAGAAAAAAAATAATACAAACTTTATTAACAAAAACAAATAGAATTTAAGTTACAGGCTTACAACTTATCTTTGAGTGATTGACATGAAGGGTAAATTTAGAAAATAAATCAACTTAAAAAAAAAGCTTGGAAGAGTTTGGAGTAATGGTCATATAAATAGAAAATGTGGAGAATAAATTTTTTTTGTCCATATGAATATTTTATAGACATTTTCATGTCTCTTTTTAGAAAATTATATAAGAAGGGCCTACTTGCAACTATTTCACAAAGTTAAAAGGGAAATGATTTCAATTACTAAACTTCAGACGAGGTTTCGGCAACAACCAGAAAGTTCAAAAGAAGTTTTAGCAATTTACTGGCACTTTCTAGTAAATATCAGACAAGTGATGAAATTCTTAATTAATTAATTTAATTACTGTTATTGATAAGCGTTGTGAGTCATGAGTCACATAACAATTGGAATCCGACTCGGAATCGAAATCGTTAATTTTATTCCTTTTAAGGCAACCGAGTGAACCGACACAACCGCCAGAGTCCTCGTGATTTCCACGTGACTCCCATGCCCGATATCTTGCCACGTGGCAACTCGTAACGAATCAAGGTTTGTAGCGTTAAACCCCAGCATCGGCTTCCATCAGGGCAAACCGATGACCATGCTCAAATCCAATGAGAAGCGCGCTCCCATCGACTAAGGAAGTAAGGATGATCCTACCGTGTTCATCTAAAACTTTAGAGGGTCATAATTGTAATTTTCTATGTCTCAACGAATGACTAACGAACACGTAGGAGATACGAGAAGAGAGCACGCTCATAGGATGGTCACTCATAAGTCATAAACAATGGATTATCAGAGCACAAGGGTAATATGGACTTTCCACATCAGATGCCATGTCTTCCTTTCGCGTCTGTCATTTCAGTCAGTCCATCCTTGTCTCCCTCGCCAAACCTTAAAGAGCGAGACTACCGGATAACCGGGTAACTGGAATAGCCGGTAAAAAAGCGATTCAAAAAGCGTAATGATTCATGATCCGTCTTTTCAAACCGCCACCTGTAGAACTTCTTATCCGTTTCTCTCCTCTCCCCTTAAAATACTAATAAACCCTTCCCCACTTTCTCCCAACCGCCCTCCTCTCAGCAGATCTCTCTCTCTCTGACTCTCTGCTCAGTTGCTCATTTTCTCCTCTGAGTGAATCTCTCTCTCTAATGGCTACCAATCTACTATCTTTCTGGTCCACCGGAATCCAAGCATCTGCTTCCTCTGGACACCGGAAGCAGGAGCCAAACCGCCGGAAAGCATCATCGCCAAATTGGTGGACCCCGCTCTTCGGCTGGGCGTCGGAGGCCGACTACATAGACAGCAACGAAAATACTAAAACCAGAAGCTCCGATGCGTCGGCTAAGACAAGGGAGAAATCTGATTCCGAGTCCGCAATGGCCCGTCCGAGACCTCGGTTCGCTCCGGGCTGCTTCACGGAAGAGAAGGCGAAACAACTCCGGATGAAGACGATGGAGACCGCCAACTTCCACGATATCATGTACCACTCGGCGATCGCGTCCCGCCTGGCTTCGGATGTTCCGAATCGATCCGATCGGTGAAGTTCCCCGGACTCACCCGGTAAGTCACCGTCGCCAGTGAATCTGTCGACTCTCCCTTAGGAAGGAAGTGTTTCTTTTTTTTAGTTTTTAATTTATGTATATAATATTATGGAATTAGTACGTGGACTTTTTTGTCACTTCGCTTCTGGATAGCCCGGATCATTAATAATATAATTAACTAATTTTTTTGGATAATTAATTTTTATATACCGTTTGATCTGTTACTCTATGTGTCGTAATCGTGAAATAGGGTATCGAACGGCCATCCCTATTTAGATCAGAGGTTAATCAGACGGCAGAACGCACGAGCAGACATGTAGGACCCATGATTTTATTAGTTGTAGTTTAGGCCGTTAGATTGTGGAAGTCAAAACTTGGAGTGTTTGAAGTGGACAGCTTGATACTAGGGTACTAAGGTACCTAGGGTTTGGTGATGTATCAAAGGATCCATGGGATGATGGGATCGCCCATGACGAGGTGACTTGATGATATGATGAATATGCAGGTCCCAGTGGCAGTGCTTGATTGGTTGAAAAGTCAAATCGTAGCTGATAGAGTATGCTCTCTTTTGTTTGCTCATAAATTGGAAGTTCGTATGTCAAAATTATGCCAAATATGATGGATGAGGACATGCACACATTGTACGCGGACCCACAACGCTCCTGACAGTTGATCAGATACCGTTGGTGGCATAGGACAGGTGGAGGGAGATTGAATATGTGGCAAATTCAGTGGATCCACTAATAGTTAATCTGGATCAGCCATTAGATCCCTCCACGTGGCAAAAAGGGTGGATTCATGTAAGATCCTTCCGCGGCGTTTATTCTCCCAATAGTAAGTACTTGTTAATTATTTTCTCTTTCAGTAATAGATTATCTTTTCTAAAATCCTGTGGGTATTTGTTAATTATATTTGAATCCACAATGAATGAAGAAAAACGCCCACGGTAATAAGAAAAAGTAAAAATTTGAGAGTTCAAATCGGCCTCCATTAGATAGTTTCCCATAACGTCTCACATCACATCCCCGCTGTGTATCGGGAATATCTCCTGATGATTCATTATTTCTGATATTATCAGACGAAGATATTTTCAATACTTGGCGGGGATATACTGTAGGACGTTGTAGGAAACCATCTTCTGGGGGATTGATTTGAACTCAACGTGAACCTGCCTCCGGATACAATCATACAAAACCAGAAGAGAGTTGAGAGTGGTGTTGGTCAATGGTTTGAGCCCCCAACTTGAATGCTGCATTATTACTCCTCGGGTCCTCACTCCTCACTCCTCGCTAGTCAGTAGACTCAATGCCGGCTTCCATGGGTGATGGGCCCAAGTTCCTTTCTCGCCCCCAGGCCCAAGGCACCCATGCCCGACCAACTTCAGTGAGCTTGTCGGATTTGAGGATTTCTTGGCTTTCCTACTTGAACTTTTTTTCAACGTTCAGATGCCTGGTGAGTGGTGCCCTGGTTCGTAGGGGTGCAAATGGATCGATCTCGATCCTGTTTGGTCGAATTTGGATCACCCTTGTTAGGATTTTCGAATCGAATTAGATTGGATTGGATCATTCCTATCCAGTCTAATTTATATTATATATTTATAATTATATATATTATTTATTTATTTATTTATAAATATATTTTTTATATTTTATTTTTATAAATTTAGTATATTATTTTTTTTATAAAAAAAACAAGTATATATATGATGAAAATAATTCAAAAATATTTGTATTTTTTGTTTTTATTTTATTTAAATTAATATATTTTAATTTTCTTTTAATAATTTATTAATTTAAAAAAAACACACAAATTAGATTGGATCAGATCCAAAAATCCAACTTACCAATAGGATTTAAATTCAAATCGAGTCCTATCAAATTCGATTGGATCGGATTCAAATGTACCATGATTCAAATCTGATCCGATCTGTTTGYATCTCTACTGATTTGTGTATCCAAATGCATGCATGGGCATATAAATATTGAGGCCCCAATGGATTCGAATTGATTGGGCTGGTTCTAGTTTCAAGATATGATACTGATGATGATGGATTGGTTTCGGCTCCCAATCTACCATCTCGATTATTATCGATTCATAACTGGTTCTACCCAGTCCTTTCAACAGGTTTATTATAAAGCCTATAGGGATTGATTTGGTTCTGATTCTACTCAGACCCGACCTCAAAGGCTYAAACAAGGCTAACCTGAGTTGGGTTTGGCCAAACTTTCCAGTGCAAGGCCCCAGATCCCCGAGACAATTACAAAACCAGTGCAGAAACTCCGGTTGGGCGCTCCTCTCCAATTCAGAGTTGGTTATGGGCCTTATGGCGTTATGGGTCGTTCTGAGCTTCAAGCCTACCAACACTATGAGTGGCCGTTTATTTTAGAGGGTGTTTGGTTCTGTTTATATTTATGGGTGGCCATTTATTCTTACTTTTTTACTTTAAACGTTTATTTACACTTTTTCACTTTAAACGTTTATTTATATTTTTTCACTTTAAACGTTTTCTGTTTTTGTTGTTTGGTTGGACTTCACTTTAAATGTTTTTTACTCCACCTCAGATTAATACCCATTAAAGTGTGACACATCAACATTTGGTTTCAAGAAATGCTGGGGCGTTGAGGGAAACAAGAATTTGACGTTTCTCCAAATGTTCTATGCACAAAAATCAAAGCGTTCCACTTTTTTACCGTTTATTTGATAAATGATGAAACCAAACAGTTGTTTGATTTTGCTTCATATGCAATAATTGCCAACGCCTATGTGGCACTGGTGTAGTAGCGTTTTTTCAATAAACTCAATGGAACCAAACACATACTGAGAAATGATTGCCCTACCCATTTCTTGAACATGCACGTATGCAAATTTCTTTCTACCACTAGCATTTTTAAAGGCTAAAGCCTTGTCATGTGCAGAGTTGAATCCTTTGTGGTATTCCATACCAACATTTCCAAATCCTATTAAATGATTCCATGAACAACAAACAGGAGGCGACTTTCTGATTTCTCCGCAAAAATATACAACCATTTCAGTTTCTTGTAACATTTAAGAGGGTGAATCAAATTGGGATTCTTTCTTACTGGCTTTCCTTTTTCTTTTCAATCCATTCATACAATCATCATTATCCAAAAATAAAAGGGAGAATGACTGACACCCTCAATGTTGTCAGAATTTATAGCTTCAAAGTTTAAAATTTGTAGGTTCAAAGTACATTTGGGGTAGGTGCCACCATGGCAGTGTCCGTCCAAAAATAAAATCTATCATCGGATCATTTCATGTGTGAATCAAATTTTGGAATAGGTCCTGTATATGCATTTTTATGTAATCCAAAATAATAAAAAGTAGCATGTTAAGGTATAACTTAATAAGTCTTTTTCCTTTATTTCAAAAATGTAGTACAAAAAGTAGCTTCAATCCCACAAAGGACTGAAACAAAAGCTTGATCAAGTCTGTTTCTTTTTTTTTTTTTTTTGATCAATAAGAATCAGCTCTTCAAAAAACGGTCTGTTACAAGCAACTCTTTCACAGTTATCTCTTCAAGGTAAAGAAAATGCTAAATAGTAACTTCTGAAAACCATCAAAGCCATCAAAGATATGAATACAACGAACTTCCCAATCGACTCTGCACCTTCACTTGCTCTCACTATCATAAAGGTCAGTTCTAAAGGCACTTGTCAAGGAAATGCGGCAAATTCAAACTAAGAATCAGAAAGGATGACCAACAACATCAAGTGAAACATAAAAGCTGATGAATACCACCACTTATGTTTTCAATATGCCATGCTCGAATTTTCTCAGTGTTGTTTAAGTACTAGAATTTACCACATTTTTTAATGCAAAACTACTACAGTATCTTCCACTTTTATATATTGATAGATGACTTTTAAATATATGTATATAAACATAGCCATATGGGTTTCACAATTGGCCATACTTCTAACAATTTTTTTATGAATAGGAATGTATTAAACTGGAAATAAATAAATAAATAAATAAACATCTAAATCTAGGGATGGCAATTTCTTCCCTACTCAACGGGGCGGATTTTTTTGCTCAAAGGACGGGTTTTGGTGCAGGTACGGGTTTTAGGATTCTACAACCAGTACGGGTATGGGTAAGGTATGGTATTAGGCTAATCCTGACCCTCCCTGACCCGCATATTGTTGGAAAGCATATGAACTTTATGTACCAAGTGTTGAATTTAATAATATTTTGAATTTTAGGTGAAAGATAATTGATAATTCATGTGTTTTCTACATGTCTTAATCAAATAATTGGAGATTTTGTTGTTTATTTATGTTATTTTACTTATTTATTGCTTATATATGACAAGAAATAATAGGAAATTAGATACATGATCTAAATCCAACCCACCCTAGCCTTGCATGTGGAGAGGGTTTTGCGTTTTAGTGTGGGTAGGGTTTGGATTATCAAAATCCAACCCGCTACGGGTTTTGGGACGGGTATGGATTGGGAGGTTTAGGGGGGCGAATAGGGTCTAGGGTCTAGAATTTAGAAAACCCACCCCATTGCCATCCCTATCTAAATCTCCTATGCTTCACAGAAAAAGATTCCCAAATTGCATTATTTGAAGTTGTATTGGGATTAAAGTGAAAAGGGGAGGGAAGATGACCATTGGGGTAATGCAAGGAGTAGCATGTGTGAGAATCTTTCTAATCTGATTTTATTGCAACCTCAATGGGGCTTTTTATCAGTTCCCTTTTTTGCTTTGGTCTCTCGTCTGAGCTGAGATTTTGGCATGAAGTTGTTTCAGGGCCTTCCCTTTATTATTTCCAGATCTGATGGCCATCTTTTTGGCTTTCAAGGTGGACGAAAATTGAGCTAGTCATGCACATACAACTGGATCAACTTTAAATCCAATCTGACGCCAAGACCACACTTTCTTGTCAAAAACATTCCTAATGATACTAATGCACTCTTAAGAAAACAACCACAAGAAATGGCTCTATAATAGTATAACGAGAACTGACAAAAAGCCCCAGATGACCAGCCAGAGCTCTAACCATGAGGCTGGCTGCTGGCATCAATTAATCAAGAAGAACAAGTCAAAACACAACAGTAATCATGATTGAAGAGGCAATTTGAGAGTTGCCTTCCACCCCAGTGCGTCAGTTCTTACAACATTGCCCATGCTAACCAGCCTAAAAAAGCCTTTAAACTCCTCAAGGATAACAACCTAGCGGGTGACTTTTATGTATATCAAGTCAATAACTCTGAATGGTGTAAGAACATTCCAAGGAAGGTTCAGGAGTGTGTGTCTTCCAAGGCACCCCAATATGGTAGCCATGATGGACCTCCACAAGATCCAAGATCCGAACATCCCCATCAATAAAGAAAAGGACCATTACCAAATGCTTGTTCTAGCTGTCTGGGTTCTTGGGAGGAGTGGACTGGATATGGACCACATGACCCAAAAAAGGTAAAAAGCATAAATATGATTATAGCACTTTTGTCAACCTAGATGGCTGTTCTGGTCCTTCCATCCATAAATAGGAAGTAAAGGTTTGTATTCTATTGATGTTGTTCCTTTCAGCAATGGATGCTTTTGATATCAATATCAAGATAAATGCACAAAGAAAAAAAAGGTTAAGAGAACTATGCCTAATGGAAACTAGAGGAGAAACAATCTGAAAAGATGCAATCCATTTTTTACAATATAAACAAAATAGGGATAAAGGGGTGTTTTTCTTTTATCCAACTATTCCACCATCTATATGATCATTGTCAACACACACGTACCCAAAAATTGTTTTTTGAGCCAGCCAGATAATACTTCTTCAACCATTACAATCTTCGAAGACTATATTAATGCTAGATCGTGAACATTTAAATCCTTTTTCTGACCACTTTAGAAGTCAAATCACCCCAACCTTCACATTGTGAGGCCTTCAACTTGTGACTAGGCCTATTATCTGTCAGTCCTACATATCACCAAAGCATCCTAATCAACTCTCCTTAATTTTGTCTACAACTAAACCTAAAAGTGAGTTCCCTTAATTGCATTCATTTTCAGTTATAACTTCTTCATCTTACTACTATCCATCAAAAATCAATAAACTCATCCTGGATGAACTCCTTTTGTGTACATGTTCTTCAATTATGTCAAACATACTGATCTATAAGACATGAATAGCATTACTGTCATCTTATTCTTCTTCATCTTCTCTGCAGTTGATCTATTTTGAGTCAATCTCATTCATGATGGAACCATAGAAGCATACAATTCATACACCTGATCCAGAATTTATTCAATAATAGCCTTCTCAATCTGTCACTCTCCTCACATGGAATAACGAAATCATAAAAATAGAACTCGTTGCTACCATAGATAAAAATATTTAAATAAATAAAAACAATGCCTATTTTAATTCATGACCATGACCTTACTAGTGCTTTATTTGTCTTATCTGAAAATAACATGTCAAATTAAAATTGTTTTAGGACTTTTGGATTATAAAGAACGCTACCGGGTTAAAATTTCAACTAAGCTGAACTATACTCTCATCAATCAAAATTATAATCTGCAAACAGCCAAACACCACATATCAGATATATTTAATTATGTATGTAGTCTTGCAATGATTTTTGCAACTTCCAAAGTAAAAGAAGATGAAATGGTGACTGGAGACTGATGGGCCAAGGATGTAACATTGCGACAGATCCCCAAACGTGCCTTGGAAGGCAAGGATTTGGCCTGTTATCTGACTTTGGAAGATGGGACATCACTTATCCATCGTCTCCTTAGTCAGTCAAACCTGAACAACTCCAAGAAGATAGATGAGGGCTATGATATGGAGAAAAGAAAAAGGGAAATGGGGAAAAATCTGGCTAAGTTGCTTCTGTTAAATGGAATTTACAGATCTCATATTCTCATCTTATTTTTTGGTCTATCTCCAACAATCTCTCCAACTCTGCCATAAAGAATCCTGACCACAGCAACTACCCTAGGGAGGCCATGATCAAATACCTAGCAGATGTGAAAACCCTAATTGGGACCACTACCTTCACATGACCATCTTTACAAGACCTAGAACTAGAAGCCAATATAAAAGCAAATTTAGATTGAAAACTAATTGGGTGCATTTTGGGGCAGTCAATATGGATAGATAGCAAGAATGAGTAAATGCTGCCCAAGAAGCAAATTGGAAACTGTCATTTCAGATTATCGATCAAGGTGAGAGATTGAAAGAAAATTTTCAGTTTGAATTATTCCATCAAAGAGAATGAACCAGCACCAGTAAAAGTATTTCAAATCCACTCAAATTGCTACACATTGCGACTTTTTGTCAATCATTGGGCCTCTCCCAATCTAACAACTGCAAACATGGGAAATGCATTGCCCCCTTAGAATACTCCTACTTTCAGCTCCATTAGAAATCTGTACATGGCTCTAAGTTAGGAGATGGGAAGAA